CGATTCCTGTCAAGGGCACGTACCTTGGTTGTGGGCACATCCCCAGTGGGGGGTGCAGGAGGCAGCTGATCAATTATTCTCTCATCACTGATGTTTCTATCTCTCTCTTCCTTTCCTTTACTCTCTATAATAAATAAAAATATATTTTAATTAATAAAAGATTAGTTTAGACATATGTATATACTTGTGAAAATATTGCCACAATATCTAGGTAACGAATATATCTATCACCTCTAAAAGTTTTCTTGTGTCTTTTTTTCTTTTTATCCTCACCTGAGGATTTTTTTAATATATATATATTTTTTATTGATTTTACATAGAGAGGAATTGAGAGGGAGAGAGAGTTAGAAACGTCGATGAGAGAGAAACATCGACCAGCTGCCTCTTGCACACCCCTCATTGGGGATGTGCCGGCAACCAAGGTAGTGCCCTTGACCGGAATCGAACCTGGGACCTTTCAGTCCCCAGGCCGACACTCTACTCCACTGAGCCAAACCGGTTTCAGCCACCTGAGGATTTCTTAAAAATTTATTTTACAGAGAGAGAGAGAGAGAGAGAGAGAGAGAGAGAGAGAGAGAGAGAGAGAGAGAGAGAGAGAGAGAAATCGATTGGTTGCCTTCCCACCAGGGATCGAACCCCTAACCTGGGTATGTACCCTAACTGGAACTCAAACCCAAGACCCTTCAGAGCACAAGAGAACATTCCAACCAGCTGAGCCACACTGGCCAGAGCTCTTGTCTTTTTGTGTTAATGTATGCTGAGGACACTGACATGAGATCTATCCTTTTACATTTTTTTTTAGTTATTTTTCCCTTTTTTTTCTTTTTTCTTTTTTTTTAACCCTCTTAAATTTTTAAATGCGTACATTTTTAAGTATAGGGAGATGTTTTATAAGTAGAATCAATTGAAATAACCAAAGTCTAGGTGACATTGAACCATTCTTTGAGAAGCTGAAGAAGCAGGTTTTTGGGGAATGTTAACAATTTTAGTTTGTTAGGTCTGAGGTTCCTGTAGAAACCTAAATGGAGGTGTCCAATAGGTCAATGGATTAGTGGAACTGGGGTTCAGGAGAAATGCCTGGGCTAGATATTTAATTTAATAATTGAGCTCTTCCATCAATAATGTTTGATTAAATAATTTCTTTAATTTCCAAGCTGAAGACAACTAAAAGCGTTAGATTAAATACTTTTAAAGATCAAGCCTTGGACAGTGTGGCTCAGTTGATTAAGAGTCATCTTATGCACTGAAAGGTTGCCAGTTCAATTTCCAGTCAGGGTACATGCCTGGGTTGCAGGCTGGATCCCTGGGATGTGCAGGAGGCAGCATATCCATCTCTCTCTCTCTCTCTCTCTCTCTCTCTCTCTCTCTCTCTCTCTCTCTCTCTCCTCTTTCTCTCTCCCTCCCTCCCTCCCTCTCTCTCTCCCCCCCTCCACGTTTTTAATCAATAAAAAATATTTCTTTAAAAGATCAAGAACTAGTACAATGATGAGGAATTATTGGTGTTAGAGCAGGCAAGGGCAGAAAAACAAAGTTGAGATCAGCAGTGGGACTGCTTTTACCTTAAGGTCATTTGCTGATGGGGAACTGGTGGAGAAAACAGGCTGTGTGGGGCAAGTGGGACAAATTTGGAATCCAAATGTCCCCAAAGGTGAGAACCCTGGTAAACCACCATCCTGTTTTGGGCGAGGATCCTGGAAGGCTGCACTCTTAGGAAAAACCTAAGAGTAGGGTAAACTAGAATTAGAAAATCCAGACCCCAAATATTAAAAAAACAAAATTAAAAACCAATTGATGGGTATAACAACAAGTTACCCTGAGAATTGAATAAATGATTCAAGAGAAAGAACAGAAGAAAGCCCTGGCTGGATAGTTCAGTTGATTAGAGTTACTTCCCAATATGCCAAGATATGCCAAGGTGGCAGGTTGCAGGCTCGATCCCAGTCAGGGCACATACAAGGAAGAAATCAACCAATGAATGAAACAACAAATCTATGTCCCCCCCCCCTCTCATAATGATAACAAAAGATGAAAAACCTAAGAGAATGTTAGAGACATAGAGGATACTGTGAGAAAGTCTGACACACCTTTATTTGGAGCCCAGAAGGGGGGAACAATAGGATAGAAACATTATGTGAGGAGATTATGGCTGAGAATCTTAAAAAGTAGATGAAATACATTAAGCCACAAATTCAAGTGCAACAAACCTCAAATAGGATTTAAAAAAAAAATCCATGTCTAAACCCATCAGAATGAAACTGCAGGAAATTAAATAATAAAATCTTTAAAATATAAAAAAGAAGGAAAAAAACCCCAAAACAAAACAAAACAATAAAATATTAAAAAACGATTATTAGCCCTAACTGATTTTGCTCAGTGGATAGAGCATCAGCCTGCAGAATGAAGGGTCCCAGGTCAGGGACATATACCTCGGTTGCCGGTTCATCCCCAGTAGGAGGTATGCAGGAGACAGCTGGTCCATGTTTCTCTCTTATTGATGTTTTTAACGCGCTATTCCTCTCTGTAAAATTTTTTTTAAAAAAGTGTTAATTGCCTTTAAAGGAAAAACTATTATTAGATTGACAACTTTTTTTTTACAGTAAAAAGGGAAGCCATAAGAAGAAGGAGGGAACTTCACGTGAGTCTTAAGCTCAGGAGTTGCTATAGTAACCAATCTAAGGGAATCAGAGGGGATATCTAGGCACAAAGATCTGCAGCCTTTATAAACTGTAGGGAAAAGGGACTCAGTGGGACTCTCCCTCTCTGCATGTGGGAGTCTGTACTTGTTCTTCAACAAATTTCCACCTTTACCACATATACATATGAAGCCACAGACAGTAAAATAACATTGTAAAAGTGATGAAAGAAAATAACTCCCAAACTAGGAAGCCATAGAAGAAAAAAATGTCCTTCGAAAACACAGGTGAAATGAAGATGTATTAATACAAACCCAAACCAAGAAAGCAGCCAGGAGAGGGACTCTAATTCTCAAGCAGAAGGCATGTTATTCCAGGTGAGTGACTGGAGTTGCAGGAAGGAATAAAGAGCATAGTCCCTGGGTGCATGAATGGGTGGAACAACAAATCTCTCTCTCTCTTTCTCATCAATAAAAAATTTAAAAATGATACATTTAGTCAACAAGAAAAATAAAGTTTACCATTAAAAAATGGTAAATCTAAATGACCACTAATTTAATTAATAAACATTAATGTCTAGTGGGATTGAAAGTATATAGATAATTAAATTGTGTGCACATATATACCTACTCCTATCCAAGAGAAGTGAATGCATCTAACCACAAGAATTTTGCAAAAAAAAAAAAAAAAAATGTCCATAACAGCTTTATTTATAATATCAACCCAAATGTGTTTGTCTGTGACTCAGTTGGTTGGAGGTCCTGAATTCATCAAAAGGAGAAAGGACAGACACACACTCCTATGTGGCTCAGTGGTTGAGCATTAACACATTCACCAAGAGGTCACCTGTTTGTGTCCAGTCAAGGCATATGTCCAGGTTGTGGGTTTGATCTACAGTGGGGGGCCTGTAAGAGGCAGTTGATCAATGTTTCTATCTCTCTATCCTTCTCCCTTCCTCTCTCTAAGCAATTAAAAAATATTTTTTAAAAGGAGAAAGGACAAAAAAAAAAAAAAAAGGAGAAAGGACAAACTATGCTATAATTATTCAATGGAATGCTACTCATAAATAAAAAAGGGACAAATTGCTGATAAATGCAAAAACTGGAGATAGGCTGAAAAAAGAGTACATACAGTGTGAGTCCCTTTATTTGAAGTTCAGAAACAGACAAAAGTAATCTACAATCATAGAAATCAAAAGAGAGATTGCCTCTAGTGGTAGGGCAAAGGGGTATCAGCAAACTGAGGTGATTTAAAAAAAAAAGAAGGTAATCTGGGTGTTGGTTCTATAGACAGAATATATTACTAAAAAATAATTGAGCTGTGGGCTTACGATCTGTGCATTTGTTGTAATAAATCACATGTCAATAAAGTATTTAAAAGAATTACGACAACAGCAATAGCATATAATTTTGGAGGGAATGATGATTAATTATTCCTGCATTTTTTAGGAGAAGAATATAAAGTATTATATAAATCAAGGATGCATGTTATAATGTTTAGGGTAGCCAATATAAGAGAAGAAGAAGAGTGATTTTCAATTAACAAAGGCGGGGAGGGAATAATAAACATTAATCAATGCAAAAGGAGGCAAGCAGGGGAGGGGGGAATGTATTACAAGGAGAGGCAAAGCACGTAGTAATCGGATTGATTTAAATGCAAATACAGCATATTGGCATCTGTAACTGGTGAAACCTCGCATGAGGGTAAAATCCGTCCATTTAGAATGAGGAAAGAAAAGAAGTGCGGGGATGGCCGGGTCCTTCTCTCCTTGCTTCTTCCCTTGCTCGCTTTTTCTGAAGTCTCTTCCCGAAGCTGCCTCTGTTTCCTTTCTTAGTCCCTCACCATCAGTGCTTTTCCCTCTGATTCAATCAACACTTGCCTCCTTTGCTCAAAGCCGCTTCTTTTGAGTAGTGTTCACTGCTGCTTGAAGTCCCTTCCTATTCCCTCACTTCACTTGCTAGAGGCAAAAACAGCTTCGAAAGATTGCATTTTTTGAGGGAGGAAAAAGTAGAAGTACGGCGTTTACTTTTACTGAAAAAATAAAAATTATTTTATACTAGTGAGGGGAAAAAACATTGCTAGCAGAGGATGGTTTCGATCCATCGACCTCTGGGTTATGGGCCCAGCACGCTTCCGCTGCGCCACTCTGCTCCTGTGAGTGTAACTGCCTCATGATTCCTATAGAAAGTTTTCTACGTAATCTCTGTCCTGCTCTCTTTACACAGCGCCGTCTAATGTCTGGGGGGCGGGAAAAAAATCCGTCATTAAGGTCTAGCGTGTTCTTATTGGCTAGTTCCTGACGCAGCAGGGATTTTCATTGGTTCACAAGCCTGCTTTCCGCGGTGAACCAATAGGCACGGGCGGAGGAGGAAGGCGGGAGCCAATCGCACCGCAGTTTGTTGGGACACGCCGGCAAGCCGTCTCTGCGCCGGTCGGCTTCTCGGAGGAGAGGGGCGGTTGGTGTGGCTTCCATTGTTCCGGATTTGGGGAGCCATGAGGTAAGGACTCGGAGGTCTGGGGAGGTGTGGGGTGTCTGGCCGAGATTTTGGGGGAGGTGGGCCGGAGGGAGGCGCAGGACCGGGAAGGACCACGTGTCTGGGGCCCCAGGCCTGGGCTAGGGGGGAGATCGGAGGCCGCGGAGGCGGGGAGACCTGGGCCCGGGATGGAGGGTTCCGCATCTGCATTTCGGAGGGGTTCAGGTGAGGGGGTGTCCGCAGGCCCCAGGAAGAGCAACCCTCGCGTCTCCCCCTGTAGCCCGAGAAGGCTTGAACGAGGCCTCGTTCATCCTGAGTGCTTGACCACATCTGCCCGAGAAATGCTTTACTGTCTCAATGAATAAAGAAGCGATCTTTAGTCTCTGATTTGTTAGAGTTGGCGTGTCCCAGGGATTATGGGGTATATAGGGCTCAGTATCCAGAACGAGGGGGTCATGGGTGAGATAGGGCTTTGAAATGGGGAGAAAGGTAAGTGGGAATGGGGATTCTTAGTGTCCAAAGGAAAGTTCGGAGGTGGAGGTAGGCCGACTTGAAATGATAGGCCGGTATGGTGGAGAAACACGTTCAAGTCTATTTGTTTTATGCGTTTCCAGGGGCGACAGAGGCCGCGGTCGTGGCGGGCGCTTTGGTTCCAGAGGAGGCCCAGGAGGAGGGTGAGTGCCAGTTTGTAGCATCTCTTCCCATTTCCGTCATCCGAGGAAGAGTTTGGAGGGGGCTAACGGTCCCTGCTTTTGTGATCCAGCCGGGGTTTAGAAACCACACGCTCGCCTGTTAAACGAGTTTGGCCCCCTAAGCTACGTTACTTTATTTCCTGCAGTTAATAATTTGGACTGTTTCTCTTGTTTTAGGTTCAGGCCCTTCGTGCCACACATCCCATTTGATTTTTATTTGGTGAGTACCATTGCCCCGTGCCCCCATTGACAGAAATGGAGCTGCCCACTTTTCACTGTACTTTCCTGGAGCCCACCATCTCCCCGTTAAAATGCTGGTTGCAGTAGGAAAAGGGATTAGTGACTAGAGTTGGCTTTGAATCAGCTGCATGTTGCCAAAAACAGTATACCAGAGAGCAGGGTAGGGAAGCTAATTCCTTGGCCATTATTGGCAGTAACATGTTTATTATGTTTGTTCTGAATATTGCATCTCTGGCTTATCTGTTAATGTAAAGGTGGCAAGAGCTTAAGTTATGGCTGTTTCTTCCAGTTTGTATCCTTGTTTGGACATCTTAAGGAGTAAAAACAAGTGTTGAAAGATTTTTTTGTTTTCAATTTTTTCTGTTATAGCAACAGAAAAATAATCTCCCCAGTATATTATTTTTTAAAAAATATTTTTATTGAGGACTTGTATGCATGCATATGAGCATAACCGATGGACACAGATGGGGGGTTGGGGAGGTGGGTAGTGAGGGCATGTGCAGGGGGTGTGTAGGAATTGGAGTGGCTGGAGAGAGGTAATTGGCGGGGGAGGGGGGAGATTTATGTAATACGTTTAAAGAATTAAAAAAATAATTTCAGAGAGAGGGGGAGGTAGAAACATCAATGATGAAAGAGAATCATTGATAGGCTGTCTCCTGCACACCCTTACTGGTGATGGAGCCCGAAACCTGGGCATGTGCCCTTGAGTGGAATTGAACCTGGGACCCTTTAGTCTGCAGGCCAATGCTCTATCTGCTGAGCCAAACCAGCCAGGGCTGTATATTGATAAATAATAAGTAGTTGTTTATTTCTGGTTTAGTGTGAAATGGCCTTCCCTCGGGTTAAGCCAGCAGCTGATGAATCTTCCTTCAGTGAGGCATTGCTGAAAAGAAATCAGGACCTTGCTCCTAATTCTGCTGAACAGGTATATTCTTTTGGCTTTTCCCTTGGAATTTCTCTGAGAAAGCTAGAGAAGTGAGTACCTACCGGTGAGGTTACTGTTATCAGAGCCCAGACTTCACAGGTTTATATTGGCCGCCCTCTCCTACCCCTCCCAGCCTTGTACATGGGGTGTATGTTCTGAGACCCACACTGTTTGCCTGAAACTGTGGATAGGACTGAGTCTTGTATATACTGCCTTATTTCCTGTACAGATGTACCTATGATAAAGTTTAATTTGCAGATTAGACACAGTAAGAGCTTAATAGCAGTAACTATAACTTCTAAAATAGAACAATTACAATAATATACCGTAATAAAAGGTATGTGGTTATGGTCTCTCAAAATCTCTTGCTGTGGATGATACGATCCTATGCCTACAGGAGGCAGTGAAGTGAGGTGAATGACAGGCACTGGCATAGCCTAGGCAGCTCACTGGAAGGCTTACTTGAATGAAGCACATGGACACCTCAACAGTGGCTCTGATAACAGGGCTATGGGAGGTAGCATGTACAGCATGAATATATTAGACAAAGGGGTGACATCCTTAGGGGGATGTTTAAAACTTATGCATTATTTCTGGAAATTTTCCATTTAATATTTTCCTAACACAGTTGACTGCAGGTAACGGAAATCATGGAAAACAAAACTGGCAAAGTGGACTACTCTAAAATTGTTCCCCTTATTCTCATTGTGAGTGGAGGAAGAGTGCCAAATTACATATGCCTTCATATTTTTATTGGGGAATCTATCTTTGAGATAAAAAAAAGTTTTATTCTGGCACTTTCAAGGCCAGATGGGTGTTCTCAAAGCACTATATTGGTATTGATTCAGCTTGCATGGAAGGGACTAGGGGGAAATAATTCAAACTGGGAAGTTGCTTATAATTTTTCACCTGAGGTTGTTTTTGTTTCCTGCTGTTTTTCAGGCCTCTATCCTTTCTCTGGTGACAAAAATAAACAATGTGATTGACAATTTGATTGTGGCTCCAGGGACATTTGAAGTGGTGAGTTTTTGATTATTTAGTCTTGGAAAAGGGCAGCCTTGGTCGTGTGGAAATTACACTGCCTCCTGTTTTTTTAATTCTTCCATTACCTATTACCAAAGCCACGCCTACATGGGAAAGTACAATGGAATGCCTTCGTGGTACTGATCTTGGGGACAAGACTTGTATTATTGTTTTCAGCTCACAATGAAAGGCTTTTCTTAATAGTTTTGGGATATGATTTGACCTGTGCAACTTCCAAATCTGGGTAATAAGCAGCTGTGTTGTAACTGAGCTCTGAGAGGTACTAGGCAGTCTTTTCACTCTCTCTCTCTGAAATCCTTTTTCCAACAGCAAATTGAAGAAGTGCGACAGGTTGGATCATATAAAAAGGGAACAATGACTACAGGACATAATGTGGCTGACCTGGTGGTAATCCTCAAGATTTTGCCAACATGTGAGTTTCCCTCTTTCTGGTTATGGAAACAGAACACAGCAGTTGGGTTTGAGGCATGGGGATCTTTAAAGCCCAAATTTCTCTCCTTTTCTCTCATTTCAGTGGAAGCTGTGGCTGCCCTGGGGAACAAAGTCGTGGAAAGCCTCAGAGCACAGGATCCTTCTGAAGGTTTGAGTTTGTTGCTGAACACGTATTTAGTGGTCTTAAGAGCCGGATCTGTAATTTTAAGTGTACAGTTAAAGTCTTGCCAGAGAAAATGTGCATGGAGAGCTTTATGTTGGGGAAGTGTGGGCGAGATCGCCATTGTTCAAAATCCTGTTGATCTCCTTTACTTTTTTTCTTTTTTTTGTTGACACGATATTTACCTTTAAAACTCTATTCTAAATCCTCATTCTGGACTCTTGCTGCTTTTGAAAACCTATCAATTCACTAATGGAAATCTGAGGGTTAGAGCTTTTGAATTTTTTTCTTTTCTTTTAGTTTTGACCATGCTGACCAACGAAACTGGCTTTGAGATCAGTTCTTCTGATGCAACAGTGAAGATTCTCATTACAACAGTGCCACCCAATCTCCGAAAACTGGATCCAGAACTCCATTGTTAGTCCTTTTTTTTCCATTGCTGGGAAATTTGGAGGAAATTCAAAACATGGGATACAGTTGCTGTTGAGTTTACTTAGCTTGTTGCTATTCCACATAAAACCTTCTGCAACCTAAGTTTACTCCCAAACTTTGTTACCTCCGTCTGTAAATTGGAGACAGGTTTACCAGCTTGCTAGTGAAATTATCAAAGATAGGATGACCAGGAAAGCAGTTTGAGGGCTTAAGAACTATGGAAATACTATGGAGTTGGGTTAGGCTTTTGGAAAACATTGTGGATCATGTATGCTTCTAGATTTGGTCTGGGGAAAAGTAGAGAGTTTTGGACAAGTGATTTGCTGATCTGAGGAACAGAGTGGTTAATTTTTTATTTTTATTATTTTTTAATCCTCACCCAGGACATGTATTTTTATTTATTATTTTTTTATTTTTATTTTTTTTAGTGAGAGGAAAGGGGGAGAGAAACATTAATTGGTTGCCTTGCGTATGTACCCTGCCGGAATTAAACCTGCGATCTAGGTATATGCTTGGTGTGGGAATGGAACCCACAACCTTTTTAAAAAATTATTTTAAAAATTATTGATTTTAGAGAGAGAAAAACATCTATTTGTTGTTCCACTTATCTATGCAGTCATTGGCTTTTTTCTTTTTAGCATAGTTTTATTTTTTAATATTTTTATTGATTTCAGAGAGGAAGGAAGAGGGAGAGAGAAACATCCATGATGAGAGAATCATGGATCGGTTGCCTCCTGCAAGCCCCCACTGGGGATCGAGCCCACAACCTGGGCATGTGCCTTTGACCAGAATCGAACCTGTGACCTTTCAGTTTGCAGGCAGGTGCTCTATCCACTGAGCAAAACCGGCTAGGGCAACTGGATGGTTTTTTGTGGGCCCTGACCAGGGAATCAAACCCTCAACCTTGATATATTGGGGATGACGCTCTAACCAACTGAGATACGTGGCCAGGGTGAACCCACAACCTTTTGGTGCATGGGATGGTGCTCCAATTAATCGAGCTACACCAGGGCGAACAAAAACATGGTGTGGTTCAGGAATTACGTTATCCTGTCATCCTTCCAAGTTACTGAACTGTGGTAGTGGGGTTGAATTGCTTGCTTAATAGGAATGTTTCATCTTGGCCTGTCATGCTTCTAGTGGACATCAAGGTGTTGCAGAGTGCCTTAGCAGCCATCCGACATGCTCGCTGGTTTGAAGAAAACGCTTCTCAGTCTACGTGAGTTTCCCTTCCATATTTGAGCTATGGTAACTTAACCCTTCTAACTACAGTACAGGATACTGCTCTGCTTCCTCTGACAACTATTTTGCCTTCAACTTCTGTCTCGATTCTGAATTTTACGTTAAGCAAAATTCAAATGGAAATGGAAAGGAGAGAATGTGTAGTTCTGGAAATAGCTTTAGCTGTGTACCTCGGATGTGGCAGTGCATGATCATATTACTTTTACTCTGGTTCCCTCCTACCTCTAGAGTTAAAGTTCTCATCAGACTTCTGAAGGACCTGAGGATTCGTTTTCCTGGCTTTGAGCCCCTCACACCCTGGATCCTTGACCTACTCGTAAGTAAAGGGCAGTTGTTCCTATCATCCCTATTTAATAATTCTCTGATATCTACCAGAATCTGAAGTTTGGTGAAGCTTAAAAAATATTTTATTGCTGGACAAGTAATTCAATAAAGATTTTTTAAAGTAAAGAGTAGTTATTAAAAAAAAAAAAAAAAAAAAAGTAGTTATTAATGCCCCTTTGTCTTATTACTGTCATTTCACTAATATAATAATGGAGAGGACATACTAGATGAGCAGTCACTTAAGAATCCCTTCTGGCCGGGACCGGTTTGGCTCAATGGATAGAGCGTCGGCTTGGGGAATGAAAAGTCCCGGGTTCGATTCCCATCAAGGGCATGTACCTTGGTTACGGGCATATCCCCAGTAGGGGGTGTGCAGGAGGCAGCTGATCGATGACTCTCCCTCATCGATGTTTCTAACTCTCTATCTCTCCCTTCCTCTCTGTACAAAATCAATAATATATATATATATATATATATATATATATATATATATATATATATATATATAAAGAATTGAAGATGCCCTAGAAAAAAGAATCACCTTAAAAAAAAAAAAAAAAGGATCCCTTCTGAAGGTGGAAGTTTTGACTTGGCCTTAATAACCAGTTTTCCTCATGATAGCTGTTTTAGTTCGTTTGAAAATAGATTGCTTTTTTATGGCACACCTACCTGATTTATTCTTTTCCAGGGGCACTATGCCGTGATGAACAACCCCACCAGACAGCCTCTGGCGCTTAATGTGGCATACAGGTATAGCATGCTTCTCTGGGTAGGGACTGGAGGTCAATTGTGTTGTGTGCTCTTTTAATACCTCCCTGTGTTGCAGGCGTTGCTTGCAGATTCTGGCTGCAGGACTGTTCTTGCCAGGGTCCATGGGCATCACAGACCCGTGTGAGAGTGGCAACTTCAGAGTACACACAGTCATGACCTTGGAACAGCAGGTAATGGAATAGTTCTGAAATGGTCTGTTGTGACACTCTTGAATACTCCTGGGTCTGAAGGTAGAGGGATTGTGGTCTTTGGGGTCAAGGATATGGGGCTTGAAATTAAAAGGTTATCTTCATCTCTCTTTTCATGAGAATGTTAATCAAACAAGATATTTTGATTATACTTCCTTATTTATCCTCACTTTGCTCTCCTTCAGGACATGGTCTGCTACACAGCCCAGACTCTGGTCCGAATCCTCTCACATGGTGGCTTTAGGAAGATCCTTGGCCAGGAGGGTGATGCCAGCTGTGAGTGATCCTGGGTTGGAGATTCTTTGGGGGTATTCTGTGGTTTACAAAGAAACTACACTGCTCAGATGTCTTAATATTTCCACTGTGTCGATTATGACTTGTGTGCTGGGCTACTTGTCTGAAATCACACCTTTTTTCTCTGCTAGATCTTGCTTCTGAAATAACTACTTGGGATGGAGTGATAGTGACACCTTCAGAAAAGGCTTATGAGAAGCCACCAGAGAAGAAGGAAGGAGAGGAAGAGGAGGAGAATACAGAAGAACCACCTCAAGGAGAGGAGGAGGAAAGCATGGAGACTCAGGAGTGACTGTCCCTTCTCTTCACCCTTTCTTACTCAAGGGGAAGATTGGAGCCTACCCTAACTGCTATTGGGCTTTGTATGGTGGCATTTTTGAGGGATAGGAGAGATGGCAAATACAAACTCTACGGAAGGAAATGGCATCCCACTGAATTCTTAACTGACTTAGTAGCCAGAAGTCTCCCACCTCTAGTGAAGCCGGTTACCAACTTTTCTTCAAAATGTTGTAGAATCCCCAGCTCCTTGAAATCTCTCCTCAACCAGTTCTGTTGTTGTTGAAACGTCAACTGTTCATGCCTGGAGTTTTTGTTTTTTTTGTTTTTCTAAGAAAAATAAAGTACTTCCTAGTAGGACTCTTTCTTGGTCTTGCATTTAAGTATTACCTAGCCACCTTTTTTACTCTCTGTGCTCTTCATTGAAAAAGCTACTCGAGTACTTTCATTGTGAACGCTAGGTCACAATTTGAAGCTGTATTTGAATTTATTAAAGTACAAAGATTCTTGGAACCTTATCATATACCAAAGTAAACTAGAATATTGTTTAAGCATTTATTGAATTAAATGGTTCCAGCAAGACTACTGTGTTCAAGCCAGTGAGATCTATAAGAGGGTGGATGGGTGACTGCCTGCCCTCCAAATCTCAAGCATAAACAGGAAAACGAGAAGTCACAGGTAGAGGATGTACTGCTCAGGCACCAACAACTTTACCAACGTTTCCAGCCACGTGATAGGAAGCCCCTCCTGGTTAACTAGATTTGAAGAAAGTTAACTAGGAACTCGAGAATGTACCTTTAAAAAATGTAAGGGTCTCGGCTCATTCTTGGAAGTAAGAGCTGGAATAAATCCTTTGGGATCCGGAGTCCTGCTAAAGAGATTTCTGTGGACCCCCACATAAATGGGTACGACCGTTTCAAACAATCCATAGGATTATCAATGTCCCAGGGTTATAGGGTGTCCTGGAGGAAATGAGGCAGGTGGAAAACAGTACTTGAGCTATTCTGAGGCCCATCTTCTGTTACTTGCTTGGGGATCCAGGGGGGTAAACTCCTGAATCCAACATTGCCCTCCTTCGGGCTGTTTCCTTGGCAACACTGTGGTTTAGCCGCCTCAGCCGCTCCTATAAGACAAATGTGTAATCTTAACTGCTCTGTGGAAGGCTTCAGAGCCCACTTGTTACCAAATAAAGAATAAACGGTTCTAGTATTACAGATACTAATTTAGTTGACAACTCCCTTAACCCCAAAGACTTGAAGAATGACTTTCATTGAGTTGGAGATGGGAGACATCTCTTGAAAAGTGGAGATATACACTGAGAACTTATAAAGCAGAGCAAAGGAAATTCTTTTACCTGGGCATTTTGTAGAATGTTATTGACCAAGACAACTCGTCGCCGGGCATTAAGTAGCTTCTTTACATAGGGGTCGAGATCCAGGGCCACTTTCTGATCCTCATTGATACGGCACAGCTCTGTGGGTGTAACGTAAGGTGCAACTAATACCTACTGGCTCATTTCTTGTTTGTTGGCAAAGTAGGAGGAAAACACTCTTGCACCTCAAAGACCATAGTCACGAGAAACTTATACAGGAATCTGAGGCAGCGTTGCCATGCCGCAAGGAAGTGACAGAACCTCAGCCCAGAGGAGGGACGGCAAAACAAGGTTCTGAAAGCAAGCTGAGGGATTCCGAATACACAGGGATGCTTACTCACCAGTAGCTAGGTTGTCAATTTGTTCCCGCAGCTCTACCTGGCTCTCTCTGCAAAGAAATAAAAGAGCTACAGGGTCAATGAATCAATGGACTCAAGAAACCTGTTCCCCTACGTGTTTCCCAAGTACTGGGCCGCAGGCCCACCCCCGCACCCGGAGGCCATTCCGTGCAGCCTGCAGTTTCCCCATATTCTTAGCCCCATCAGAACCCTGACAGCAACCCGTCTGGACTCCGCCCTTTTTTGGCCCCGCCCCACACGAGAACCAGAAACCGAGAGGCCCCGCCCAACCTCCCCTCTCGGGCACCTGACGGCGTGGACGTGAGAGTCGAGCTGCTGCACAGCGGGTCGCAGAAACTCGAGGAGCCCCTCGGCGAAGATGTCGCGGCCTGCCGGCCCCGCCACCGGCGTCCCTGCCCCGGACACAGTGGTGGAACCAGCCCCCGCCATCATGAGATACCCTTATCCCGGAACGTGCCGCGAGGGCCGCCGGGAACTGAAGCCCCGCCGAAGTGCGCCGCGCGGGGGCGCCCGAGTAAGGCGGGCTTCCGCTCAGCCCCCGGGATTTCTGGGAAATGGAGTCTCTGGAGCCGGCAGGGCGGGGAGAAGGCCGGGGCCATTAACGCAGCGTTTTTCAACCGCTGTTCCGCGGCACACTAGTGATGTTGCCTGGTGTGCCGTAGGTGCAGACAAGACAAGAATTTTATAATTTTTCACTATTTTGTTTACTTAATATTTCATAATAAAGTAATTATAAAATACTTTCTTTGTGTTTATTTGATTCCTATTCAAGAGAATTATTTTATATATAGTCAATATAGGCACAGAGTTAAATTTTTTAACATTTTCTAATGGTGGTGTGCCTCGTGATTTTTTTCATGAAACAAGTGTGCCTTTGCCCAAAAAAGGTTGAAAAACACTGCATTAACGCACTGGGAGTTGTAGTTCTTTATAGGCCTTGAAGGTGCGGATTTTTAATATCTCCAGACTTCAGTAGCTTAGGGGAAGGAATAATTTTGGGAGACGGGTATTTGTTGTTTTCTCCAAAGGTGAAAATTCTTTTTATTATTATTTATTTTCCTTAATATCTTTTTTATTTTTATTGAAAAATTTATTCTTAAATCCCTAGTTGGTCATAGCCTTCCTAGCCTAATTTATGGGAAAACCAGATTACATTCATAGTACAGTTTTATATTTCTAAATTTACCGGTACAGTTTTTAAAAAATCCTCACCCAAGGATTCGTTCATTAACTTTTATTATTTTAATTTTAATATATTTTTATTGATTTCAGAGAGAAAGGGAGAGGGGGGGGGAAAGATCAGTGATGAGAGAGAATCATGGATTGACTATCTCCTGCATGCCCCCCACTGGGACCAAACCCACCACCTGGGGCATATGCCCTTGACTGGATTTGAACCTGGGACCCTTCAGTCCCCAGCATGTGCTTTATCTGCTTAGCCAAACCAGCTAGGGCTATTCATTGACTTTTAGAGGGGAAAGGGGAAGAGGAAGAAACATTAATAGGTCAGGAGTATACCAAGAGGCAACAGATAGCTGAAACCGGTTTGGCTCAGTGGATAGAGCGTAGGCCTGCAGACTGAAAGGTCCCAGGTTCAATTCTGGTCAAGGGCATGTACCTTGGTTGCGGCACATCCCCAGTGGGGATGTGTAGGAGGCAGCTGATCGATGTTTCTAACTCTCTACCCCGGTCCCTTCCTCTTTATAAAAAAAAATCAATAAAAATATATATTTTTTAAAAAAGAGGCAACAGATAGTTGTATCTCTTTCACATTGATGTTTCTCTCTGCATCTCTCTCTTTACCTTCCTTCCTCTCTAAAATAAATTTTAAAAAGATGGTTAAAGTGCTTATTTTTGTGTAACGTGCATTTTGCCACAGTAAAAAAATATTTTAGCCATGGCTGGGTAGCTCAGTTGGTTAGAGCATCCTCGAAATATACCAAGATTGCAGGATTGATTAATCCCCAATGAATGCATAAATAAGTGGAACAACAAAATCAATGTTTCTCTGTTTCCTCCCCCTCCTTTCCACTCTCTCTAAAAGTCAATGGAGAAATTTCCTCTGGTGAGGATTAACAACAATAACAAAACAAATGGATATATATATATCTCAAATTATAATAATTAAAAAGATTTAAAAAAAGAAGCTGGTTCTCTGAGGAAAATGACTTTTGGTTTATGTTTTCCTTTCCACTCCTTATCATCCTGACTTGCTCTTATCTTTCAGGAAGCCATTGCAACAGCCTCCTGATCTTGCCTCTAGTCTTTCTACTCGCCAGATCATTCTGCATTCTAAAATACCAGTCAGATGAAAGGGAATTTTAGAATCCTTTCCTTGGTTCCTTGGATATCTCTGTGAGGAAAACTGGGCAAGGGTCTTCCAGAAACCATGAAGTTTGATAACAGGTTGAAGGCCAGTGTTGGTTCAATTATTCATTCTCTAAACATTTATCAAATTCCAGGCATCATGACATAAGGTATTCAGCACAAAATCCCCCTCCTCCCGGCTTGCACCCCTATCACATTGCAGTGGCTTTCCAGTCCTTGGCTTTTGCATAAAGGCTGAAAGAGATCCTAAGAACGCCCCTTCTCTTCTGTCTCCCATCTCCTCACCCCCTGGGTGTGCTTAGGTTGACCTGCCCCCTCCTTGCAGGCAATTTGAATGTGGGTAGTGGGGTATATGTCCATGAGGAAACTATAGGAACAGCTGTTCTGGCTCAGGCAATTCAGCCACACACAGTACCCTCTGTCTGACAGGTTAGTTGCACCCCTATACCCACTGAATGGGGCAGAGAGGGCGGTCAGTTATCAGAGAGTTCTTGTGGTAGGTAGTGGGCACAGAATGGTATCTGGTGGTGGCTTTAACTGGGGAAGGAGACCTGAGAGTAAGACTTGTTAGGTGCAGGTAAGGGACAAGGATTTCCTAGTCCACCTGATTCCTGGGAGATGAGAACTTTGTGTGGAGAGCTCTACAATGTTTCAATGGCAGAACTGAAAGGGGCAGCAGTAGTGGCGGTGCTGTTGGCACTTAGACATGAACGGAGCAAGGACAGGGGGTCAGGTACAGAAGGTCACCAGGATGGAAAGCCCCATGTGCCTAGCAATGGGTAATTGTAGGGTGGGACCTCACCTCCAGGGTGACCTTTTCTCCCCTAGCATATCTCAGGTCCATGAGGTTAGGACTCCCTGACCTTTCCTCTCTAGAGATAACATCTAGGCCTCAGTTGCATTTCAGCTCCAGGCAGAAAAGCAACAAAACCAACCCCCACTGACGTCAGGTGTCTGACTAGATGCATGGAATAATAACCCCCTGCCCTAGTGCTGGCCAACCAATCAGTGGAGACCATAACTCTGAATGGACACACCTGGAAAACTGCTAATCTTCCATTAAGATATTTCCCTGGGACTCCCCTAAAATCTCCACTCTTAAAATCCTTAGGATGGAGGCCCCAGCACGCTCTATCTCAAGGGTCCCACGTTCAATTCTGGTCAAGGGTTGTGGGCTCAGTCCCCGGTGGGGGGAGTGCAGGAGGCAGCCAATCTATGATTCCCTTTCATCATTGATGTTTCTCTCTCTCTTCATCTCTGAAATAAAAATTTTTTTAAATTAATAAAAATAGAGGCTTTAT